ACACACACACACACACACACACACACACACACACACACACACACACAAACACACACATATATATATACACGTATACATGTATAATAAATACAAACATAATATAATACGCGCTTGTGTGTACCGCGAGTGGCACCAAGGCGGCCGATATAACTGCTGCGACCGTCGTCGTCGACAGAGCCTCATCGCGTGCGCATTTGCAGTCCCCTACACGCGTATTATACACACACCACCCCCGCACATCCCTAGGTTTTTATATATTATTACCTTTTTTTCCATCCTTTCCATTCGCCTCGTTCGACGTACCGTTTTCTAAACCGTTACTCCCATCGGTCGACCACTGCGGACCTGAAACATTCGAAAACACACATACCGCGACATGGCTATCAAAAACATTACTTTGAGGCTATATACCGGTCGGATGAAACACGGTGGTATATACATGCGAAAATATTATGTAATATCACATAATATTAATTTTAAGACTTCAAAAAGGTTCACTGTCACTACTACTGTTTAGCCGTTGCTGCGGTACAGATAAATTTCCCGTGTATTTTATTTTTATTTTTTATACCAGTGTTCGATCAAAACCTGTTGAACAATGGAATGCGTTTTTATTTTTCTCGAAAAAACTTTTATTCGAGCGTTTCAGTAAACAATTTTATATATTTTATGAAAGAAATTAATATACTACTATAAATACACGTTGGCGATATTGTTAATTTATAATTTCTCTTTTAAGTATTCGGAAAATAGTAAAATAAAACAGTTTTCGTTTAAAGATTACGAATAAGCAAAATTATATTACTATTACAAAAACGAAATTTTCGATTTCGTAATGTAAAATAAAAATCAATTAAATACGCTTTTCATTCCATTTCATGTTGTATCAAAATCAATTTAGTTTTTAAGTCTTGTAGGTTTATCAATAGATGACTAAATAATTAAACTTTATTTTGATTTTCTAAAAATATTTAATAGTTAACAAGATTTTACAAACGAATTTAGATATTTTGCAATACAAAAATTACAACCGTTTAGTTTCAATACCATCATGCATGATTTTATTTACATTTTGAAATTCCTAAAAATTATTTAGACTATATACAACTATAATTAATGCATTAAAAGTGGCGTGCACCTCTATAGTTTTTGTAGAAGAAATAGTATTTTATATTATACAGTGTTATGAAAATAATATGTGTTAATTATATGTTGAATATTCACATCGGTTAAGTATGGAAAGGTATTCATCACGATTATTCAAGCTGGAATGAAAAAAAATGAACAACGTGAGTATGTCAACGGAGGGTCGAAATACATAAAAAAAAAAAAAAAAAAAAATGGTAGGGATTTAAATGAAATGTTTTAAATTTCTCACAGTAAAATATGCAGTTTCTATATTAATAATTTCCTCATATTGAAAAATGAAGACATTTTTTAATTTTTTTTATCAAAATTACAGTACTGGAATTTAATATAACATAAAATAAAATTATAAGTCTCGCAAAAAATAACAAATAAATCAGTATGAAAAATATTGTTTTTACGTAAAGTTAAAATAACGTTATTGTGATAATTAAGAATTTTTAATTATTTATCAAATAAAATGTATACTTTAATAATACCTTAAGACAATGTTCTGTTTACTAAATTTTGCCAAATTCCGAAAACGATTCACTGTGATATTTACCTACTAAAAATGTATACAGTCATTGTATATTATACAATTATTTCGTTTAAAAGAAATATATGACACGTGATCACATTTTTTTATACACGCACACATTATATTTATATACACATATACATATACATATACATAGTAAAGTTACACAAAAATTTACGAAATAAATAAATGAATTATTATTATCGTCTAATATCGTATAATGAAAGCAGGTAAAACGATATGGTCCGTCTTACCTAAAGCTGGGATGCCAGAAGGGGAGGGATTCTCCGTGCGTTGAAGTTCTGGTGCCAGAGTGGGTGGGTGTGAAGCTTTGCAACAGATAGACAAGAATAGTGTTAGACAAGAATAACAGTGCTAGAAATATTGTATTTTTGTTTGATATTTTTTCGTGCACATTATAATATGGTAAACATTATACAATATCTAAACAAAACATGCTTAAATTTTTTAAAATATTATTTTTCAGCGTCGAAAAAGCTAGATTATGTTACGTAGTTACAATGCGCAAGCACAGCCGTTTATGTTAAAATTTACGTAGGTACGAAATATTAAAATCGCGTGGTCGAAACCCGTCACGGCTCGTCAACTCATTACTCCGAGACACCGTGTTTATATTAAAGTATTAATAATCACTCAATGGAATCTACCACTGACAATATACGGTTGCATTACGTAAAATTCAAACGGCAATTTTGAAATAGCGATATCGCGTTTTCACGTACAGAACACTGATCGTTTGAAAAACAACGACAACACATAATTATTACGTACAACGTTAAATAAATATTACTTTTAACATGCATGATTAGTTTTTCTAACTAAATGATTTAAACATACTACGACTACATAAGAAGAAACATTTGAATAGAAAAACAAACTAATAAAAGACGCTCAAGCAAGATTAATATTGCTATTCGTCCGGAACGTATAATTCTGATAATAACCGTTCGACATTCATTTAAAAAATTATGAAAATACGATTTTCCATTAATCGCATGAAGGGTAAAACATAAATGTAACGTTGTAATTAATTGCAAAGAAATATTTCTTTGGAAAAATATGAGTATATCTTTCATCGTGGTGTATCTTAAATACTTTGAATTCTATAATACTATCCTCCCCATGCAACGTAATATGAAACGAAATTATTATTTTTCATGGCAACAAACGGGATATCTGATTCCACGACGATATCTCACGCATATTTCATTGGAAGGGATTTATGTTCTAGCCAAAACGATATTATGATCCTGCAACAATAATATATGAACATTCGCGTCCTTTTCTTTACGATCGATTAAACGGGTAATTAAATTTCCAAACAGTCCTCTGAAGCCTCTCCCTGTCTCTTAAATCCTCTCTCCTCTTTACCTCCTTCTCAGTCTATCTCTCTCTGACTATTTCTCACTCTCTCTCTCGCTTTACCACTGAAGTGTTAGAAGGTTTACACAACCCGTTAGTATATTATTATCTGCTACTACCACTACTACTACTACTACTACGGCCCGCGTGCTCGTTTATCGGTGTGTAAAACGATTTCTTGTCGAAACCATTACCGCGTAGGCGGCGGTGGCCTTAGAACGGTTACCGCGATCAGCCCCCGCGGCCGGAGGACAGTCCTTTTGCGAAATTCCTCATTACCGGTGGTTGTGGAAATTAATTATTTTAACATCCGTTTTCGGATGGATATCAACCGGCGGTCACCCGCATGTACGGCCCGCGGGCAGCGTGTTAATTACAATTCAGACCGCAAGCACTACGCACCACCATACATCCGACCGTGTTTTCTATACAAGCACGGGAATGATGTACGCCAACGTTGAATATGTACAGGGCCGACCACCACCGGAGCAGCGGTTTTAAAACGTCAGATATTGTGTACCTTGTGAGGGAGACGGAGGGGAGGGGGTACACCGGGTTCCTGAATATGTATTTTCTCGGGAGACTAATTAAAACCCTTTGCCTGGGCGCGCGCGTGTGCTTCTGTGGACGACCACACCTGAAGGCCATGACCACAGGATTCCTGATTCTTCATGGAATAATCTACACAAATGTGTCGTCGCCATATACAGCTTGTATAGTGTATATTGACGGCGTGTCGGAATCGGCAATCCAAACCAGCGTCATGCTCGGTAGACCACAGGACGTGAAAATTATTAATTATTACAGACACGAGTGTAATGCGAATAAAATAAATCAATTGACGCGTGTGGATAGTTGAAGGAAATGAAAATGCGTGTTACAATATTTTTATGTATAAATGGTACAATTTTTATTTCGTTTTATACGGCAAGATAAATATAGTATTCGAATAATGATTTAAAATTAATTTTCAATCCAAGAGGACTTCCGATAGTATGTTTTTAGATAAATAATAGAGTATAAAATTGTAATAGCTAACTACGTACACGCATCGTAAATGAAATTTGATTTTGAAAAATAACAATCTTAGTCTGTACAAAGCTAATAAATATTTCCTTGAATGCTGAACAATATTTTAAAAAATAAATATAAATCATTTAAAATCGATGGCGAAACGTCGTCTAAAAGAATAAAAATAAAAAAATAAATTCAAATATTGAGATGCAGGCACTATAATAATACTATAATGATGAACATATAAAGTTTTGAGTAATTTTAGTTAAAAATAATCACTGTTTTATGTAATCGTGAGTAATAATTATATTCCGAAATTTAATTTCTTAAAATCCAACATTCGAAGTGATATACAACTGTCGTGGAATTTTCTAAGAGTAGGTCAGTGTGGTATATTTACATAGGCAATTATACGATTTTACCTATTGTAATAACACATAAGTTTACAGATATAGTAATATTTTCATAGCAGTGCCGACACATAATGCGCACTACAAGGCAGGTTATTCCTTTTAGTGATTAGTGGTTTACAAACCAGACCGATTAAAATGTAGCAGAAATATATTGGGCCAAGGAATGAGATTGGTTTTTGCGAAGGAAAAAAACTGGATTTCGGTTTTCATCGAGCATTAATCACGGTACGCATTTAATAACATCAACGGAATGAGAAAAGTAAATTACAACTCTCAACACTCGAAATCCATCTAAACTCCCGATCCCATTCATATTAAGTACTCGGATGTAATCTTACACTAGCTGTAGTGGTGTTGAAGTCGTTTCATAAACTAATAATAATTATGTCATTCCCCGTTGTGTTTGATTTCCACTAGAATTTTATAACGCAACGTACTCATAAAAGCAGATTTCTGCATTTGAAGAGGCGCATTATTATGTTTGTATATAAGAGAACGATTTTTTTTCTCTTAACACGTCAATGTTAAATTCAGTTATTTTAACTTTCTTACTTTATAAAACGTATTTCATTTTTTAACTACAATGCGCGATATAATATCAATGTATTATTAGAATCAAAAAAAAAAAAAAAAAAACGTATTGAAATACTCGATATTATAATATTCGATAAACAGACACCCGAACAAGTGTTAATTTTTGCATTTAACGTTTATCATTTCAAATGTTTGCTATAAGATATTTTTATTTTATTTTTTCATGCTCAAGCAAATAAAATTAGTCGGATGCTTTTCTTTCCCGTCGTGCGCTCTTTTAACCCTCTTGGAAATAATCCAGTAGTATCCGGTATGTTAATTCCTGTCGGAAATTCGTTTCACGGTGTTCTTTCAATAACTAAGTAGATTTAAATCCGCGACGATTTTACGCGTGATATCCTTGGAATCTGTTTAAAAATAATACAACTACGGTTCCAATGAAATATCTAAAATGAGAAATGTGCAAAACGATAGAAATGTCGCAGCAGTTCTATGGCGAACAACAACGCACATAGTGGCATGAGGGCTTATTTTTTTTGGCGAGTAAAAGTCTAGAATTGTTGTACTGCCACGTTTCTCGGACGGTAATAAGGGTCGAAGAAAATTCTTTGACTGTCTTACGTCATTTCGGGTAAGGTGGAAGGGACCTAGACTCCCTGGATGACGATCCCCGCGAGACACTAATACTACTACTATTGCTACTACAATTACTACTACTACTGGACAATACGTTATAGTTTAGTTCTTCGGCCGTTAAAAGTAAACGTTTTTCCGTAGTGCGTCTGCTTTTTATCATTACGATGGATACGTTGCATCGATCACGATCAGTTATTTCAATCGTAGCGACCAGAATACAAGTGTAAATGTATAATATTTTTCGAGGAAAAATGTTAACATTCTTTTACGTATGTATAGAAAAAAATAAATTGTTTAAATCGAACGTGACGAGTATTTTAGCAAAATATAATATATCTGAGGGATTGCGCGCAAAGCTTATGCGTTTCCTAACACATGTGTCATATATATATATATATATATATATGTTGTCGCATCAAGTACAAATCCGCATTTTTGTTCACGGCGGCGGATCACACGAACACCGAGGAAAAAATACCCAATCGCCATTTGCCGTTAAATTGTTATAATATACATATTTATATAACACAAAAATGCAGTTATTATGTTTCCCTATTGACTATGACTACGACTATTGACAGCTCATTCGTGTATATTAAATGTAATTTAATAAAATATCATGCATGCTTTTGTAATATCTAATTATAGCTGATGGTACACTATCGAAATTAAGTTTAAAAAAAATATGTACCCCTATTATGACAAGTATAAATAATAGTTAGGAATCGGATTTAATTTTTCCCAAATTACAAAACCAATAATCTAATTCAAATATAAACCAAAATTTTTATTGTTATTTCATCGATACCTGAAGTAAATACTATTTATTGTAGGTGCATATATATTAATATATATAAATTATTATTATTTTAATTAAAATATTTTTATTTTATATTTGTGATGGCATTACAATTATGAGACCTAATAATAAAGAATTTAATCATTAATGGATTATGTGATTTAAAATGTAGGTGATATTTAACACATTTTTTTAAATGTTCCATTTATTCTGAGGAGAGAAAGAGAGAGAGAGAGATTCGTTGTACCCCTCATCATCCACGCTTATAAATACGCGTTTATAATCACAATGCAATTATTTTCCGTTTTGGTCGCTTTGCATACATGCATAATACGTACAATGTGCCACAACGTTACATATTATAATGTCATTCCAATCCATGGGCACGCAACGAATTCTATTACATTATACCTGATATAGCAAGCCAACCGCGAGGAAAAAACCGCCCTGGGATAAATTGTTGAAAGGTGAGTCGGGTGTAAAGGTTTGCAAGGGGGTGAAAAATATTATTATACAACAATGAATGCACTAAGTACACGAATGTATAGTAATAATGATGATAATGATATAAAATATTATACAGTCATACAGGGTGACATTTTTAACTTTAAACACTCATTTTCAATGGCAATTTATTTTTATATTATCTGAAGTCATTATACCACTTACAGTTTTTTAAACCATAAGCCATTTATTTTTAATGTTTACTATTATTGAATATTTTCGTTATTTTAATACCACAATGTCTTAAATGATTTTGTACTCAATTTTTAATATATTAATTTAATCAATCAAAGACCCCTTGGAATCATTCAAAATACTTTCCATTTTCACAACCTATTTGGCAACTTTATTGTTTAAATTTTTTTCGCTTTGTACATTTGCAAACAAGTCAAATGCATTTTTAAATACAGTTCAAACTGATAAATACAATCCAACAGAGTTGTATCGACTTTTTTTTAACTCTCTCACGAAGGTGAGGAACCACATAAATTATCTTGCCATTTTTATAAACATAATTACCAATGCTTTAATGGCAGATCAACTTCTCAACCATTTTCATTGACATTCGAGGCATATTGGATTTTTCTCCTATTCATTTTCTCATATACGCTAAATGTTTCTTCGCCTTTACTTTTACCTTTCGGCTCTACTAATATACATTTCACTTCGATCAGTTTCTCTCTTTTTCGGTATAGCTATCTGAGTTCTATTTTGTTCGGTACATTTATATGCAACATTGATTTTGAGGCCATCTAGTCACCGCTGTCTAATTTATACTGATGAAATTGTATTGTTTTCTCGGAATGACCGTCTCAATTCTGTACTCGTTAACTTAATTCTATATGACCAATAACTACGTTTTTCCTTAGCTCATTCAACTTTCTTATCAATGCAATAGATTTTTTATCCTTCCAACTTGAACCAGTTATATTCTTTCCACCGTACACTTTTTAACTATTTTTTTTTAACCGGCGTTTTCATAATTTATATATATCGCATTAACGATTATAAAATTCTACTGAAAAATTTAATCGACGTAATTTTTAAGTCCAACAGTCGTGTAAAAAAAAAAAAAATCAAAATAAAAATACTACACTATCGGAGCGAATACACGGTCGTAATGTATCAATATTTTGCTCGTCGATCCGTTCCGATCGATTTAACATTGAAACCAAACACACCTGCCTAACCTAGGTAGTATAACATTTCATTCGATATTTTATGCTTAAAAAAAAAAAAAAAAGAAACTATACATATATTTATATTCTACTTCGAAGTGCAAAATTAAAAAAAAAAACGCATTGAAAAAAGTAAATTAACACGGTATACCGGTAAAATGTCCCCCCCCCCCCGAAACATCGTAACAACTACGAAATCGACCGGTAGGAAAAAAAAATAAAATCATCCTGCTGCACCACCGACACGCGTGTCGGTGCGAACGAGCAGAAGCGGGGCGCTAGGTGAGAGGCGAACGGGAAAGCGTTGGAATGCCAAAAAGCGAAACGAAAACGTCGCTGTTATTGTAATGTTTCCCGTCCGGGAATCACTCACTGTACAGACGGATCGTGCCGTCGGTCTCGCCGCGCGAGTTCTTCGCCACGCACTTGTACACGCCGTAGTCGGTGTGCGACACGTCCACGATGGTCAGCTTCATCTGCACCTTGTACGACGGCATCCCCTGCACGGACACCGCCTTGTACTTGCCGTTGTCGTGCAACATCTGCCCGTTGTCCCGGGTCCAGTAGTGCAGCGACGTGGGGTGCGCTTCCGTGTAACACTCCAGCGTCACGTTGTAGCCCAGCGGCACGCCGACCAGCTGATGCGGTATCCACAGCATCGGCGGGACTGCAAAACGGTTACCAGAAACATGAACAACGGATATGGTACGCGACGGTGAACACAACGTGTAAATTAGCGAGTCGGCGCATTTCCCGTTGGACCGGCGGTTCCCGAAACGTGCACCGCGGTCTAACGGTCCGCAACAAACGGTTTATGATCTACAGACGTTAGTTTTTTCCGTATTGTTTTCGTAAACGCTTAACAGCAAATCATCGAATATGTTCTAATGTATACTCGGACGTTCTCATTTTAACATTGTAATATTTTTATGTAATCATCACAATAATAATAATAATAACGATAATGTATGTTTATCTCTTAAGTTTAAAAATTCATTGGTTTACGCGATTAGGTTAAATTTTAATACAATTGGTTATCGATGAGCATTTTTTTTTTTTTTTTGTCCTGTCTTTCATGTTATTCACAGCAGGGCATCGTGGTGGCTAAATTAAGTAAAAAAAAAAAAAAAGGCACCGCGGAAAAAAAGTTTGGGAAACGCTGTGTTAGACGGATAATAAGCTCGTCCCGGACAATAATCGTATTCGTAAAGTACGACCGGTTTCGAATAAAAAATTCTTCGTCGTCTATGCGTACGAAAAAATCGCCACTACTATTAATTTCTTTACGTGGAATATTTGTTTGTTCATTTATACGCATCGGTTTACGAGTGTTGACCGTTTATCAATTTTTATTATTTTATTATAATTAATGTGTTGCAAAAATTATTTAATTAATCCTTTATTACCATTTTTCCAATTCAAATTTAATTTTTAACGTAATATGTAAATGTATAAATGTGTCTCCTCTACTATGCATACCTATTGTATATCATGTATATTGTTTAAAATGAAAATAAATTTAAATGAAACAAGTGTTACATCAGTGTTCAAGAAGAAGTACACGGTGAACTGCATCATAAATATAAATATAGTAATTAAATTTTACGAAAAGCGTTAGAAAACCATATTTATATGTAATTGTAGGTTAGATTTGATCTTATTTTACTAAAATAATACAAAACAAATATTAGATGATCCATGTTTTAATTAAATGCTATTATTAGAAAACGCTTGTTAATATTAACCAATGTAGTTCATAAAATAGTTAAATAGTTCATGAATATATTTGAAGAACAAATATATCACTAAATAGCTAACAAAAATATATCGTTGTATAAAATTATATTTAATTGTTGAAATATAATGTGGTTTGAAAATATTAAGAAACGCATGGAAATCTGGTAAGACTAAAAAAATATTTCTAAATCGTCCAAACACTCGATTATAATAATTATTGTTTAAGTATTACACGATGTACGCACATTGGACATTCATCCAGATATATTTATGTGATTCAATGTGTTGTTGCGATTGTCCGGAGTAGTATGTGGTATCAAATATCTAAATGTTAATTTTGTATAAATAATATATATGCGTCTCGAATGCGAAACGCGATAGCATAAACGTTTTGTAAAACGCTCGCATAATTTGATCACAACTCAATGGGGGATTTGTACCGTATGAGTATCGATATAGATAAAGTCTAGCTGTTTGATATTCATTGGATAACCTACCCTATAAAATTAAAATGAATAACTGCACCAGGAGAGATTTTCTAAAAAAAAAAAAAATTTAAAACCATTAACCGATATGAAATATCGCTGCAAAGATACTATTAGACAATAATATATTATTTTAAAACAATATTTCTAGAGTTGTATAAAAGAAATGAGAGTGTATTAATCATATTCAATAATAAAAATTGAAATATATTTTTGATTTTGATTTCATCGATACACATTTGCAACATGAATTAAGTTTTCTATATTAGGCCTGTTAAAAATTAAAGTTATAGTTGATTTATTTAATTATTTTTAAATAATTTATCACCACGAAAATGTAATGAAAATAGTCGCTATCAACTGGGTGCAACTAAGAATAAAACGCTGTATTTTGTACAATGTTAACGAAATAAAATGTAAAAACTTAATATATAAAATATATTATTAAACCTCGCCCACACATATTTTTCTTATCTTATTTTGCACAAGAAACAAAATTACATTATTAAAACCTTCAGTTTCATGCAAATAAGTTGTTATGTCCTGGTTCTTGAGTAATACAACGTACACAGATATTACGGATTAAAAACTTTAAACAGCAGTTCAGATTAATTAATTGTATTTTATTATGTAAATGCAATCATTATTATTTATATTTCGTATGTGTACTATTAACCAGAGACTTTAATATGTTTGCAAGCAAAATAGCTGACATGGATATTATTTGTCACATTATAATGCTTGTACTCGTACATAAGTACACAACAAAGAACATATTTATAGAATTAGTTTTAATTGTGTTTTCTGTTCAATTATAGATTAAAGTTAAGATAAGCGGTTCCCGGAGTTATTCTCTTTCGGTCATAGCAACAAGCTTCCACCGAGAGGGGAAAAAAATGAATACTGATTTCGTAGAGGTATGTGCAGTCAAAACAATAATTATATTTACAGCGACGCAGCTTTAGACAAAAGGTCGAAGATAAATTATATTAAAACAAAAGAAAACGTATATTGTTACGTACATCTTACCCACGTCAGCACAGATTTACAGTACGACGATATTATCTGCTACGGATAAAATTTCATATAATACGTATAATATAATATTATATAAGTGTTTTGATACATTACGAACGACTTAAATTTATGGTACATGAGTTATCAATGATAAGGAATTGATGGAAGTTTTGAAAACCGTAAAATCTCAGACCGTTTGGTTTTCGTCCGGTTCATCAAAAACACGATTAAAACTTTTAACCGCTACTGCGGAATTAGGGGTGGGTGTAGCGGGGATAGCGCACAAAACGATACAATATCTATTTATATACATTGGCTAAGTGTGCAACTATTGATGGTATCTAATTTCCGGCGACCGGACCGTCGTCGTAGTTTTAGCACCAGCAGTGGTTATACATAATACGGAACAAAGTTTGACTAGTTTTTCAAAAGACCCCCGTTTCGCGGACAATTACTAAGCAGACCAATTAAGAGATAAGGAACAAGTTTTTAAAAACGTATTACGCTAAACGAACCATCCGAAGGAAATTACCTATCCGTGTAAATGGGATCCGGCTGATCTGTTCAGGCTTTCAGTGAGTAACGATTAAAACAGAATCCCGGCGGTGAGTCCGGAACATCTGTTTTTATTTTTATACCCCATCACATTCTGTAGAGCGAATTATTATTATTATTACTATTACGAGCGCGCGTGGGCAAAAGTGCTTGGAATATTTTAATCTACCGTGGCCGATAAAATTATAAACATCAGAGTTTATATTATTTTTAATACAAATAGTATATAGTGTAATATAGTGTATAATAGTATCACGGTATATTATTTGTAATACGTACGTATTATATTTAGACGTACGGATTTCGTTTAAGTTTCTTTGAAGGTTTATCTTTAAACGCGCATGTTTCGCTCTTTGAAAAGTTATTAGACACATAACTTCAATCATAATAATCGTTATTAATAAAATTCTCTAAAACTTATCTCCTCGAACGCTCTAGAAACATAAGTGATATTTATTAGTGATTTCCTACTACGTATATTATATTACATTGAGTCTAATATCTATTAATTATTACACTTAGTACTTCCATACAAACTATATATAAGTATAACCTACTCATTACATGACTAGAATAATTATTATGGACTTTTTCGTTTTAGATTCTTATCGGTTTGACCGATCCAAGTTTTCACAAAGTAATTAAGTTTAATCATGAATAAACTTATAGTTTGCTAGCATAAGTTACGTTCCATAGACGTATATACTGTTATCACATTGCTGAGTTGAAGTTCTTAGTTGGTAAGCTGTCCAATGTGTTTATATGTCTTCTTCATAGCTGAAAAACTAATAATCAATCATTTTGCGTCATACATTATTATTATATTATATATTTGAGCTGTATTGAGAAAAATTATCTAAAATATATCTTTTATTTACCAACTTAGATGTATGAATTTTATCACATTAAGTATAGACGCCACACACAAAAAGGCGTATTAGACGTTTGAAATAGTTTGTTCACAATTTATAGCCACGAATTCATTAAATACAATTATTAGTAATAAATTTGAAAATAATAATATATTCAATAATTTCTTATTAAAAAGTGTTTCTTTGAATTTTATAATGCGGTTAAATTTTTTTTTAACGATATCCAAGAGACTTAAAGAATAAGATCAATGTATCCTGATTTAGTTAAATCCAGATTACAAAAAATGTATTTATAAAACCATATGTTATATTATTATTTATTATTATATTTTGAATCATTGATATCAGTTGTAGTTTGTATAGATTATACTAATGAGGAATTCTAATGCAAAGAAGAAACGCATTTTGTAATCAGACAAAAAAAGTATTTTTCAATTATACACTCCGTCCAGTTTAATTGTTTTCTATTGTAAGGAATCAATTACTTTTCTATGTTCTATGTATTTTTATAATATTAAATTTCATAAATTTAAGCATAGAATTTTGAAACTGATTTCAATTATTTATTCACCTTAAAATTCTAATACCTCAATTCCTTTTTATGTTTTACAGAACAAAGTTTTTTTTTTACTTTTTAAAATATTATTTTTTGCGAATATTGTTATAGACGAATAGGAAACCAAACTTCATTTCAAAATAATACCATTAGAATATAGAGAATATCGCTGTAACCGATATTGTTATATACGACAAAAATTACTAACACATTGTATATAAAAACAACCAAATACATTGCTGTGAATTATTTGCCGGGAATATCGTAATAAACTTTCGATTGTATAAAAAATACATTAATATACACATGCGTAGCACACTAATACTATTATAAGACGATCTTCAAATTTAAATTTAAATTATAAGTTTATAGAATTTTGTTGCAAATAGCGAAATTTAAGACACCACCTTCAAACCCTATGAATATTTTCGGCAATAACAATAAA